ACCCCTTGCTGGCCTGATCACCCCACTGCCAGCTTGCTCGCCCCCAGCTCCCCCCACTGCTGGCCTGATCATCCCCAATTGCCCTCCCCTCCTGGCCTGATTGCCCCTAACCGCCTCTGCCTCGGCCCCGCCACCATGGCTTTATCCAGAAGGTCTTCCAGAAGGTCTAATTAGCATATTACCCTTTTATTAGTATAGATGTTATCATGGCACTGTCAAGTCACACTCAAGGTAACTCTTTTTTGCTACTTGAGTGAGTACCTGTTCCTCCAGCTGGGGTGCACAGTCTAAATCTGTGCATTCATAAAAAGGTAGCTCCCATGTGACCATGGTCTCCAACATGGGCTCAGCATGCATTGTGCTCACAGCAGGGTGGTGCTTGAAGCCCCTAATGCAGCAGGATTTCTGAACAGTGAGTCTTCCTTGCCTGGCTTTTGTGAACAAACCTTGTGTGAAATTTGTTTTCCTTTTCTCTTTTTACATTTATGAAATATTTCAAAATGCAAAGAACATGAAATATTTTAGCTCATTTATGCTTTCAATGTTGTTTTAATTTTTGCTGCCTTACGCTTTTTGTTTTAATCCTCACCCGAGGCTATTTTTTTCCATTGATTTCTAGATAGTGGAAAAAGAAAAAGAGAGCCCTGACTGTTTTGGCTCAGTGGATAGAGTGTTGGCCTGAGAACTGAAGGGTCCTGGGTTTGATTCCGCTCAAGGGCATGTACCTTGGTTGTGGGCTCGATCCCCAGTAGAGGGAGTGCAGGAGGCAGCTGATGTTTCTCATCATTAATGTTTCTAACTCTTTATTTCTTCCTCTTTCTCTCTGTAAAATCAAAAACTATATATTTAAAAGAGAGAGAGAGAGAGAAACATCGATGTTAGAGACACACATCAATTGGTTGCCCCTACTGGGGCTGGGGTACCTGCAAACCGAGGTACATGTCCTTGATGGAGACTCGAACCTTTGGTCTGGGGGCCGACACTCTAACCATTGAGCAAAACCGGCCAAGATTCTCTTTATACTTTTAATTTGTATTTTTTAAAATTAGCAGTTTTTGTTTAAAATATGAAAGAATTGTCTCCTTAGAATAAAAACCTTCAGGCCTAGCTGGTTTAGCTCAGTGGATAGAGCACTGACCTGCAGACCAAAGGATCCCAGGTTCATTTCTGGTCAAGAGGCACGTGCCTTGGTTGCAGGCTCCTCCCTGGCCTGGGCCCTGGTCAAGGCTCATGGCAGGAGGCAACCAATCGATGTGTTTCTCTCATTGATGTTTCTCTCCATCTTTCCCTCTCTCTCCCACTCTCCCTAAAAATCAATAGAAAAATACCCTCGGGTGAGGACTAATAAAAAACAAAATAAAACAAAAACACTTCAACTGTGAGGATAATCCCCAGTCCTTATGGTACTTAAAGATTCTTTTAGGAGGATGAAGCTATTTTGAAGAGAACCTTGGTATTCCTTCATGGTTTCTTACAGCGGTCCAGTAAAAGAAGATTTTTCTCCTTTCTCAACTTTTTACTTCATTGGACATTTATTTTTACTGGAAAATAAGGACTTATTTGTGAAATTCCTCCATGTCTGGCCTTCTGAGGCTGATCTTGATGTCCAGATTAGTTCTGTAATCAGCCTGAGTGGTGTGGGGGTATGTGTCAAGTCGTGTCCTGTCGAAGAGGGGCACTCTCTGCCCTGTATCCATAAGGAAACCTGCATGTGAAATACTGAATTTACACACAGCAGAAAGATGCCATCACTATTTCCTTCAGAAAGGTTTCCATTTAAATATTAGTACTCTTTAACAGTTCTTTTTACTTACATAGCTAATGCTAATCCTGTGAAGAAATTGAATATTGCATAAATGCATAACCACCTCGGGTTTTCTTGTGTAGAAAGGCCCTTTCTGTGTTGTGCGATGCCCCATTGACACTCTGTCCCTCAAATAGAGTTTGAGCACCAGACTCAGGTGTACCACAGAGAGGACACAGCGTGGAGTGTGACTGCACCTCTGATGAGGGTGTAGGACTCCCAGGAGGCACTGTCCGCAGGCCACTGGTGATTTCGTTTCCTGTGCCCTTGATAGCAGAGATGGTATTTATGGTGTCTGAGAGCAGCATCAAATGAGATGTATGGTAACAATTATTTGAAAAAGCCTAAATACAGTATGACTTTTTGCAATGAACATATACTGAGGACATATTCTTAAAGTTATTTTTTAAGACATTCCTAATACCCACTTGTGGAGGTATTATTTGTTGCTTCTTCCTACTTTTGGGGAGGGTGACACAGGTCTAGATGTTTCTGCGAGTGCACTTCACTGTACAATGGGAACTATTGGCAGCTGATGAAGAATCTTCTGGAAATAGTAGAGAGAGTTATGTGTTTGCTGTTAACTCTTGGAATGAGCTAGCTTCGTCATTGACATTCAGCCATATTTGTTAGCACAGGACCAAAAATATTTAAATGTAATTTTACAATGGGGGTGAGGTAGCCTGTGTGATTGGTTGCAGGGTAACTTGTGAGACTCAATGCCCTGGTTACATTTGGTGTTTTTTTCTCTTTCCCCCTTTTTTTCCCAAACCAGGTTGTCCTGGCCCGAGAACTGGCAACCTCAAGGGAATATGCTAGTAAGTACTAACTCCAGCAATCTTTGTCTGGGATGCAGAGACAGTACACTTCTGGGCACATGGCCACTCGGCACTGCCCAGCGCTTGGGGGTTTCTGTGCTGATTTTAGAGGAGAAGACACTGTTGGTCTGTCTTAGAGACTATGAAGCCAGTAGCCACATTATGTGAAAAATTTGAATTTATGCCAAAAATTTGAACTTTATGAGTTGTGTCTTTAGTGTTTTCTTACCGTTTCAAATAATAGTAACTTGCTTCTCTCTTACCTTAAGTTAAAATTCTAGAGAAACGTCACATTATCAAAGAGAACAAAGTCCCGTATGTAACCAGAGAGAGAGACGTGATGTCGCGCCTGGATCACCCCTTCTTTGTTAAACTTTACTTCACGTTTCAGGATGATGAAAAGCTGTGTATCCTTTGAACAAAGAGTTCTGAAATCACACAGTGACCCCTATTAGTTTGGCATCATGACAACATTGTTGTTTTTACAAGTAGTCCCTTCTCCTGAAAAGGAAAAGGGCTGTATATTCTAAATACAAAGGAATTCATAGCATGGCTGTGGCCCCCTGGGGTAACTTCTTGGGAGACCATCACAAACATTTTTTAGATTTTTTTTGTATTGATAAGCATTGTATATAAAGGATATTTATTATTTTAACCCCGTGGTTGCTATACATTTATACAAAGGCTTCCCTCATTCCTCTTATCAGCATTCTTGGAGTATCTATCAGGTGTCAAGTCCTGTGCTCAAAGCAGGGAAGTGAGAGAGGAAGAATGATCTTGGGCACCTGGGGCTCCTAGAAGGTGGGCACCTATCTGACTTCTAGGTTTGGTTGGAAGGGACATGTTTACCAGGCTCAGCCCCCAGGTGAGAAGTTGAGGGAGTGACCCATAGGAGCCCAAACCCTTTCTCCCTATACATAGATGCTGTCCTCTCCCTGGGGTCTCCAGCCTCCCTCCTCCTGCTCCCTATGGAGCCTGCTCTCGGTGCCTTTTTTTTTTTTTTAATCTCTGATCACCCAGTGCTTCTGGCTCTTCATGGCTTTGCAGCTGCATCTCCATCAGAGATAACATACTTGCTGATTCTTTGCTTTATTTGAGGGCATCTTATGTTCCCTGACTTCTCTAACTCTTTTACCTTTGCTTAGGGATAAGGGAGGCAGAGTGGACCGCACGTCTCTGTCATACTTGGGCCTGCCCATCATGTAGCCAAACTGGCCAGTTTTTCCTCACTTCTCGGTCCCTTCACTGAAGTTCTTCCAAACCGATACTTCCCTCAGCCCCTGTTTGCCTGGTGACTGTTCTCAATCTCAGCAGATGCTCTTGGTTTCTCCTCAGCCATGGAGTTGGTTAAGAGCTTGTTCAGGTTTAAACCTCAGTCTTTGTATTTTTTCTTGTCTTCAAGGTCTCCAGAGCCCCTTCCCCTCACCACACCACTTCCAAAGTTGGTCCAGTACCTTCCCCATCTTCCATTCTCCCCGGTCAGGCTTCCTTTCCCCTCCCTCTCTATACATAGATTCTTCTGGGTTAAAATTTTGCTCAGTCCTGTTCCTCTTTTAACACCATTTTCTGTCTTCATCAGCTGTCAGCTGAATTTCTTCTTTTGTTTATTGAGAAGTCTTTGGTGAATGCTGGGTGATGGCAATGTGCTGGTAAATGAGATGAGGGCTTTGTCTTCAGGGACCTTAAATTTCCATGCAGGAGTTAGGTCTAAAACAGATGATCAGTACCTAAGGGACCAAGAGTAGTAAAGCCAGGTAAGGGAGTGTTGGAGCATGCTATTGTTTTAGCTGGTGGTCCAACTTGACAGTGTCAGGCAGAGACCTGCACAGGGTTAGGACAGGAGCATGTATGTGTGGGTGGAGTGAAAAGGCTGGGCAGGGGTCAGCTCTTTGAGCTTCAGAGGCCTGATGAGAATTTTGGATTTTCTTCTAAGTGTGGCAGGGAGCCCAGGAAGGTCTCCAGCAAGGCAGCTGTTCACTCTGGCTGCTGGTTCAGTGAAGGTTCTTCTAAGTAAACAGGCGAAGGAGAACGGAGTCAAGGTGGCTCTCAGGGGTGGACCTCAGAACCTGGATGCGCAATGGTGCTGTAACTGAGCTGGAAGACTGGAGAGAGGCCAGGCCAGGAGTGGATGTCGCATTGGCATTTGACATATATGTAGTTGTTAGCTGCTAGAGCGCCAAGAGGGCTGCTGGGTGACTGCCAGCAGAGCTCAGGGGAGGAGTCAGGACTGGCGTAGCAGGCTGTCCAGCCACTGAAGGGCACTCAACAGGGGAAAAGGTCTGAGGCTTGAGCGTGGGCCACTCACATTCACAGAGATTGGCACTTGGAAGGGACTCTTTTAGAAGGCAGCGGGGAGGGGGTGTTGCTAGTGAGTTGAGAGGACAGAGACCCAGGGGCCACAGGACCAAATGGTTTCTGAAGAAGGGTGCTGCAGCCAGGCCAGATGCTGCCAAGTGGTCAAGTGCATGGGGCATGGACCTGACCTATGCATTGGCCCTAGTGCAAGTTGTCATTGTTAGTGGCAGTTTGGAAGTAGGAGGAGGGTTTGGGAGAAGTGAGGAAATCAGCGCACAGCAGATTCTCTGTAAAGGGGGGCAACAAAGTGATCTAGGAGCCAAAGGTATGGGAGGTGGAGAGGGGGTTCCTCATTGTTGTTTTGTCTCTGCACCTGGTTCCATCTATTCTTGTCCCTATCTCTTTGTTGTCATGCCATGCAGCAGCCATTAATGGCTTCCTGAGGACATTGAAGGGTCCTCTTTGTGTTTGTTCTGTGTCTGTCTCACCTCTGAGGCCACCTTGACCCCTTTGCTCCTTATACTCCCTGGGACCCATGTGACTATGCTCCTGGAGCCTGTGGGGATCTCTGGCTGCCAGATTTTCTGGAGGCCTGGGCCTGGGCTTTCTGTAGGCCCATTGGACAATGTGTCTTATTGGTTGGGGGCTCCAACAGATTGCACACACTTGGCTTTATATTCTCCAAGGGCCATGTGAGGTGTGATTAGGTGGTTCAGAGTCTAGATGAGTGAGCTTGCTGTCTAATTTTAGATGGGATTGGCCAGAAGAATGCAGGTGGAGAGGACTCTAGGGGACTTTGTTCAGTGGTAATTGTTGCTCTTAAATTTTAAGGCAAATGCCAATGCATGTGAAGGCTGTGAGGGCATGCTTTCCCTCTGACAGGAGTGAAAAGAGGGACTTCTGCCTCAAGTTGAAATCCTTAGTGGCATACATTGTATTAAAAGAAAAAGAAAAGAAAGCTCTCTGCCTGAAGAAAGCCCCAATATGCACACCACATTCTCTTTAGCCATAATTTACACATTGAGGAGACACTGGAGCGACTACAGGGGCAAACTCCCCTCAGGACAGGTAAGGCAGAGCCTGGGGACACCCCTGTGGCAGCCTGGAAACCAGGGCTCTGGACAGGGAGCCAAGCTCCAAGACGCTGCTGAGCTCAAAGCCACCCTTCCTCCCAGGCTGCAGTGATGCGTTTCCCTCCATCCCCCACCTGCTCATCTTTGTGTGTCCTCTCTTGCAGCTTGGGATCAGGAGCAGTGCACCTAGGCCTTAGGAGGCTGGGCTTCAGTCCTTTCCCTCCTTGGCTTTGTGACCTTGATCAGTTGGGTTGCTTAACCTCTCTGAGCCAGGTTCCTCTGCAAAGTGCAAGCTTTGGGCTCACCAGGCTCTGCAAAAGGCCTGAACTGTGCTCATCCTTCTGGGAATGTACCCACTCCATGCACTAGAACAGATTTCCTCAGTGCCCTGTGGCATTGGCTTTGCTAAAGGAGGTAGGATGGGAATGGACTAATGAGATCTGAAAAAGTATTTCTGGAGATGAGAAATGTGTGTGATTGGAGGGACTATGGGCTTGGAGCTGTGATCTTCAACATCTGTCATATTCAAAACCTGTCAATCACCTTAGCTTCACAGCTGAGCACAGAGCTAGAACTATATCTTACATAGGAAATAGGAACAGTCAGGCAAGGAGCAGAACCTGTGAAGCAGGAAAAGGTGCTATTACTGTGGCTGTGGCTGAGCCCCTGTGGGATGTAGGCTCCTGGGATACCGCGTTCCTAACTGATGAAGCTCCTTGGCTAGTCCAGGTGAGGCCACCTACTCAGGCAGCGCTGAGCTCCTGCTTGGGTTTGGGCAAGCCAGAGTCAGTCTGTAGCCTTCCCTGTGGAGGGGGCAGAGCAGGACAAGGAGGGAAGGGGGCCTGGTTGAGACCCTTTGAATTCTTAGAAGTAAGGTTTGTTTTTTGCCTCAGGCTCCTGTTAGATGTCCTAGTTAGAAGGGTTTGGGTGGTCACAGGTGGGGCTGGATTCAGGGTAGGTTTGGGCAGCCTTGGATTGGATTGCCCTCACTGTACTGCAGCGTTAGGCTCCTTCTTGGTGGGAATGGCAGTACCGTGGCAAACAGAAACGAGATGGAATACCCTGAGCACAGGCCAACCCTTTCCTGTCCCTAGCTGCCAGTGGTGAAGTACCTGTAGATTTCCATTAATAGGACATATGTTTGGTGCTCCTAGGAGGAAGAAGTTATATGGGATTCATTTATTTTTGCAACCATTAGTCCTTTTTGGAAAACGGAAAATAGATATAAAACATACCACACTGTAGTGGTGTCCAGAGGAAAGATGACAGTTTTCCTCCAGTCTCTCCCCAGTGGGTGCCTAATAAATAAATTGAAGCAAGAAGTTAATAAAACGGCATTTCTCTTATAAAATTTGTCACTTTATACTTGGAAACAGCATTCATTTGAGAAACCTTTACATGAATTGGCTCTTAGCACAGCATGTGGAATAAAGCAGGTGCTCAGTAAATGTATACACATTGTGCAAGTGTGAAGACTGGATTATGATGGAAACATGCCCCCTCCCCACTCCCATTCACACACCTTGGCTGAAGCCTGCAAAGAGGCATTTGACTGCAATCTCTAGCAGCTTCCCTTCACTGGGGCCACATGTGCCATCTGGGCCTGTGGGATCCAGAAGGATCATTGGGCTGAAAGGCTCATGTCATTGTGTTCTTGGTGAGAAACTTATCCTGGGCCTGGCCCTGGAGCTGGGGTCTGGGATTCTCATTGGCCATGAGTCTGAACATGGCAGAGTCTGACTCGAAGAGGGGCAGCAATCTTGGGCCACAGGTACTTTCAGTTTTCATTAATTTAAAAATTGTCTATTGGGTTAAGGTTAGTTTTTTAAAAATGATTTTTTCATTCTTCCTTAACTATGCAATATTTAGATTTTGGCCTTAGTTATGCCAAAAACGGAGAACTACTTAAATACATTCGCAAAATTGGTTCATTCGATGAGACGTGCACCCGATTTTACACAGCTGAGATGGTGTCTGCTCTAGAGTACTTGCATGGCAGGGGCATCATTCACAGGTACCAAGCTGAGGGCTGGGGCTCTGTGCTCAGGGTCGGGGACCGCTGTGGTTTATTTACTGGAGGGTTCGATGCCTGGTGAAAACAAAGAAGAGTTCACATCACCCTGACTTTGAGAGCCTCACAGACCTGCAACTATTAGGTGAAATTATGTCTTTTTTTGCCAGGCTAACAGTTTTCTTACCCATCTTGACTGCTGCTTTTATTTTGTCACTTATGGCTTTTGTGTGTACTTTCTTCTGGTCTTGTTTTCCATGACTTTCTGATAAAGTCAAATTGAAAGTATTCAAATAAGCTCTTTTTTAAAAATTTATTTGAGGGAGGGAGGGAGGGAGGGAGAGAGAGAGAGAGAAAGAAGGGGGGGGGAGAAAGACATCGATTTGTTGTTCCACTTATTTATGCATTCATTGGTTGCTTCTTGTATGTGCTCTGACTAGAGATTGCACCCACAACCTTGGCATATCAGGACAATGCTCTAACCAACTGAGCTACCTGGCCAGGGCTTTTTTTTTACTGACTTTTAAAAACTGGACTATATATAAATTAAGTTGTACAGTGTGATAGTTTGATTTCCATATTTTGTGAAATGATTACAATAATAGGTATAAAAGCTATTTTATGGGTTAAAATGATAAATTATATTTCAAAAAAGTTTATTAAAAATAATAGATGGAGTTTTGAAGTGATGTAATTTGAATGTTCATTATATGCAGTTGCTATTTGTTCATTGTGAACTTTAGACTTATATTCTTGGTTGTTAGTCTATAAAGATTAGCATTAACCAGTTTATTTTCTTTTTGGCAAAATTTAGAGTATGTAATAACATTGCTGTTTTGAATACTTATGTCAAATATAAAAAATCTGCTTTCACAGGGACCTGAAACCAGAAAACATTTTGTTAAATGAAGATATGCACATCCAGATCACAGATTTTGGAACAGCAAAAGTATTATCCCCAGAGAGTAAACAAGGTGTGTGAATGCTTTATTTCCAGCCGATCCTGCTTAGTGTTTAGATCAAAAACAACCTTTTCGAAATTCAGTGAATTGCATTGTGTTCGTGTGGTGACAGATGTTTGTAATATCTTTGTTATTGTAAAATAGATGCTTGAGTTTTCACAGGGAAAGCTGTATGCCTGGTCTAGTGGGTGGGGTGGGAGGGGCTTCCTAGGCTGCCTGTGGTTGGTCTGCCCAGTCTTGAGTGGGGGTGCTGGGCCACCAGATGCTTTCTGCATGTTGTTGTCATAGGTCCCTTTGAGCACTTTTGAGTGCCCTGTGGCTCACCCTCCATAGTTGTAGAAGGTGCTGGGGTGCCACATTTGTTCCTGGTCTCCCATGCGAGTATATGGGATCAGTATGGTCAGCTTGCAGCTCTTCCTGTTGGCACTGCAGTTTGTAACTGGGGGTTGGGGGGGACTATTCCTCTATCCCAGTGCCTGCCAGCTTTCTTTCTCCTTACTTCCTGTGTGCAGCTGCAGTGGTGGCCCAGGCACACCCATTATAGTGAGGTTCTACAGAATCACAACAGGGATTGATTTTTACTTGGTCACATGCATATTTCTGATTGCAAACCGTCCTAATCGTTGTTCCCCTAGGGCAGTGTTCGGCAAACTCATTAGTCAACAGAGCCAAATATCAACAGTACAACGATTGAAATTTCTTTTGAGAGCCACATTTTTTAAACTTAAACTATATAGGTAGGTATATTGTTATTAACTTAATTAGGATACTCCTAAGGCTTAGGAAGAGCCACACTCAAGGGACCAAAGAGCCGCATGTGGCTCGCGAGCCACGGTTTGCCGACCACTGCCCTAGGGTGATTCTTAGCATTGGATTATGTATTGTGACAGCTCTATCACCTAGGAGGAGTTGCTAACTTGGGCCAGAAGAGTGTCCTGGATGTCCTAGCTAGCCAGGGGTCATCTTGGCAGGGGCTCTCACTGTCCTAAGGTATTTGTTGAATGGAAATTGAACTGGAAGCATAAAGAATGGCTATTTTACTTCTGAAAATTATTGTCAAGTGTTAACGTGGAGAGAAGATAAAGCCCTTTATAGTGAGGTTTGGGGGAAGCTAAGGGCCACTGTGCAAGTTAATAAGTGACCTTGAAAATGAACTTTGGGTTTTAGGACAGTTGTGACTGTCAGAGCCACCCTGACCCAAGAGGCTGTCGCGGAGACCTCCATATAATGCACACATCTCTCTGCCATGAGAGGAAGACCTTGATAAAAAGCATAAAAAGTGCTTGGGCTAACGGATATGCTGGGTATAAATACAGTGTTTTTTGGCAGAAAGATTCAGACTAAAGCATCCACTCTGCTACAGCTACTCTCTTGTAGAAAAGGAAAACTATGAGTATTACATAGCAGTGGGGAGGAACTTGGCTTTTTAGAAAGTCCTCTAGCTCAGCTGGGCTGGCCCCCTCTATCTTGGGCTTGAATTGCGGCTGGATTAAACACCGTGTTGGACGTCCATCCACTGGGCTGATGCCTGGGGTCCGCTCATCCCAGCCAAGTGCGGGTAGAGACACAAACCTATGCTGCTGGGAGGCCCCTGTGTGCCTGGCTGGGTCCATGGGTTTCCTTCTGCAAGGTGCCTTATCTTTCCTTTCTGGGTGTTTTTCCAGAACAGTGTCCTCAAACAGAGGGTTCTTGTGAACTTTCTAGTTAGGATTCAGTTAGTGCTTTGATCTCTGCGCAAACACTCATTGAGTCCCCAGCGTCTTCGATTTGGGAACCTCTGTGAGGATCCTAAAGCACCACCCTTTCAGGACTGAAACAAAACTTGGAATCATGGGATATGCTGTTATTTCTCAGCAAGTCTTAGTCCTGGCCTCACTTGCCTGCCTTTTGTAGCTGCCTTTCCCTCCTTCCCATTGAGGATGGGTGGTCTCCCACCTGGAGATGCACAAAGCCAGGGAAGTCCTACTGGCACTTGTGAGATGCCCCCAAAACCTTTATCTGTTCGACCTATGCATATTACATAGTAATATTTTAGGGGCCAGTAATCATGTTTTTATGGACATGGTATAACCCATAACCATAGCATTGTTCATGACAGAGGTGAACCCAACAGGAATTGCTGTGTCCCCAAATGTTCTTGTTAGGCTGCTTATCACAGTCTGTGTTACTTCTGCCATGGGACCTTCCAGTCATTCTTGAGAGCTGCCCACCTTGGGGTCTGCTTTGTCCTTCCTTCATGTATAGTTCCTTCAGAATCTGATATTTGATACAGGCTAGTCCTATTGCTCTATAGTCATTGAAAAAATACAAGAATTTAAATGCATTAGTGAAATAAATAAGCATGCTTTTCTTTCTTTCTGGAAGCAGGAGGCTTAAAGTCCTTATGTTACAAACCAGGGAGAATTGCTTGTATATATAGATGAGTTGGCTTTTTTTTTTCCTTCCTAAAGAAAAGGGAAAAGCATACATAATTATGTGAATGTTTCATTTTAGTGAATTACTCTCATTTTCTGTTTGAAGTACTTTATTTTTTTTTTAATATATTTTATTGATTAGCTGCCTCCTGCACACCTCCTACTGGGGATGTGCCCGCAACCACAGTACATGCCCTTGACTGGAATCGAACCTGGGACCTTTCAGTCCGCAGGCCGACGCTCTATCCACTGAGCCAAACCAGTTGGGGCTGTTTGAAGTACTTTAGAATATATTTCTGTATTAGCTTTTAAAAAAACAAACACCAAAAACTTTTGTGCAGAGATGATTTCCCAAAAACACCTTAAAACTTCTAGAAGGAAAGTGTTGGTGGGAGTTCTGATTCTTTAATTGTGCACTAAGCATGTTCCCCTTCCTCCTGGCAGGAGGCAGGTTGTCTATCTTCACAGACCTTTGTCCCAGTAGGTTGCTCCTGAAAGGGGGTAAGCCCTGCATCTCCCTCGCGCTGCTGCCTGTTAGGTCAGAGTCGCCTCCCTGTCTATAATGGGCAGGGGTGGGATACAGCAGGGACTGTTGAGGGCATACGGATTGATGAACAATTTCCGGCACAGAGGACTTGTGACTTCTGACCTTGCACAAGGGTACCACAGACATAGCCGGGTGAGGACAGCTTAATCATGTCGAGTAAGCCCCTTGTCTGTGGCTGTGTCTCTGGCCTTTGCCCCCTTTGCAAAAGGCTTGAGTTTCTTGGAGACCCTGGAGGTTCAGACTTGGGGTTTGTGTCTGGAAACCTGTGTCCTGAGCTATGTAGGCTTTTCTGGTATACAGCCAGATGTGGAGGCTTCACTCACCAAACAGGAGGAGTGGGTCTGCCAGTATAGGTTGGAGGACAGCTGGAGGAGGGATCCAGGGGAAGGCTTCAGAGCCGAAATCATTCTGTGACTTGCAGTCTGTTGAAGAAACCAGGTCATTTGTCTTCTAACGTTTCCCGATTACATCTCTGTGGAGTCATGTAGCATGCGCCTCTCTGTACATCCTGTAAATGAGCAGTTGGTGCTGGCCACTTTGATCACATTCAGGTTCAGTTCTCACACACCAAAGTCTGGTGGTGGTGCCTTCTTTATTAGGAAGCATTTGCTATTCATCCATTTCTCTCTCTATGTTGTCAACAGCCCTTTAAAACCATAATGGCTTAGATCAGCCGTGGGCAAACTAAGGCCCGCTGGCGGATCCGGCTCGTTTGAAATGAATAAAACTAAAAAAAAAAAAAAAAAGACCATACCCTTTTATGTAATGATGTTTACTTTGAATTTATATTAGTTCACACAAACACTCCATCCATGCTTTTGTTCCGGCCCTCGGTCCAGTTTAAGAACCCATTGTGGCCCTCAAGTCAAAAAGTTTGCCCACCCCTGGCTTAGATCCATTAATTCAGTAGAGAATAAAAAATGATTATAGTCTAATTCTTTTATTCCTAAGATGGAATTCTTCTTTAAAGAGAAATTTCCCCAAGCAACTATTTCCTTAACTAGTAGTATTGATAGTGGAGGAAAAACAGGATAAATGCTTGCTCTTTCCCCCTTACTTGCCACTTTTGAAAGTCATAAACTGGCTCACCATCATCCTCCAGTAATGACCAAATTCTCAAAAACATTGTTACCGCCCTCGCTGGTTTGGCTCAGTGGATGGAGTGTCGGCCTGCAGATTGAAAGGTCCCAGGTTCAGTTCTGGTCAGGGGCATGTACCTTGGTTGCGGGCACATCCCCAATAGGATGTGTGCAGGAGGCAGCTGATCGATGTTTTTAACTCTCTATCCCTCTCCCTTCCTCTCTGTAAAAAATCAATAAAATA